AAATAAAATTTTAATACTAAAAAATATTTAAAAATAATTTTAATATCTAAAATTTAATTAAAAAAATTAAAATTTTAAACAAAATAAACTAAATATATAATAAAATTAAAATTTGTATATATAAAAATATATAAAAATATTAAAATTTTAAAAAAAAATATTTGTTTTGGCCCGAGCCAGCCCAGATCGTGACGGGCTAGCTCGCCACGAGTCCGATTCGTGACGGACTGGTTCGTGTGGCCCGTTTTTTTATGGGCTCAAAATACTTGAGTTTTGTTCGGAAAAATATGGGTTGGCTCACGAGCCATGCCGCGAGTCGGGTTCATTTTTCATCCGTAATATAGGGTTTATTTTAACTGATTAATATGTTTTATTATTATAGGTATTTAGTAGGACGAGGCAAGGTACATCGCCTCTTCCTCTTCTTATTTTAATAGCCCACAAAACACAAGCTCCATGCTCTTGAGTATCGGTTCCCTTCTTAAACCAAAAAAAAAAAGTATCGTTTCCGCTTTGATAATTCATTAAATTGATGCATTGGTTGGAGATATTATAATAATAATTTTTATACATTAATATCTATCAGAGTTCCCAAAGTCCAAATATATCTTTACCGAAGAGTATATATTTACAGATTCAGAAACTTATGTACATGACGGTAACCAGAGAGACTGTCCCAATGCTGAACGTAAATAATTCCTGAAAGAAAGAAAAAAACCCTGAGAAGCTTCTTAGATTAATCTGAGAACACCTCGTCAACTTCGGCCTGATCGGGTTTCAGCGACGAACTACTTGAGCCTGCATCTGTGGCAGGGACATTGGCCATCTCTGAGTACTCTGAATCAGACAGGTCTGGCTCGTCCTCTGTTAGATATCCTGTTTCTTTGTCCCTTGTATGTTCCATGTGTGCCGCTTCAGAGATTCGGCAGATGCAGGACGAAGGATTCTCGTGGAACTCGCCGTGTCCTGGTTTTATTTCCTCTGGTTCGCCCATGAACCCTTGCTGATAACTCCTGAGCTTGGACGCAAATTCGTCCCATGTCATGTTGTCTCGGTTCGTGAAGAGCTTATGGAGTTTCTTGGCGTTTGGACGGATCGTCACTTTGTGTCCAAAGTATCTCCTGCTAAGAGATGCGAATGCCCCAACTGAGCTCTTTTGCAATGACCCCTGGGGGGAGAGAGAGAGGGAGGGAGAGAATACCTTCGTCCTGCTAAAATCCTGGCCATGTTACCGTTGTTGTTGGTGACGAATGCATCGCTCTCATCACAGACCATGAAGTCAAGAGCAGCCATGCGCGAAGAGAACTGAGCGAACGGCGCCAGCTCCTCCTTGGAGGTCAAGGTCTCTTTGGTATGGAGATTTGGAAACAGAGCTCGCAGAGGAGCTATTGTCTTCTCTCCTCCGTACACTTCGCCTGACGCCACGTACAAGTGAACATCACTCCCAAAGCCTAATGCTCTAAGCATCAGTCCAATCTCCTCTGGCGTCAGTGGACATCGACCATGTCTCCGTACCTTGTCAGGATTTGCGGTCTGCAAATTATAGCAACCACACAATTGTGAGCCCAGAGATCTGGGTGCTTTTTGAAAGTATATTGGCAAGTGCAAGATGAATACAGAAGATGAACTCGAAAGGAACTTGTCGTGGTGAAAAGGCGTAAACGACTGCGAGTTATGAGTATGTGGAATATGCTAAAGACTCACATGTAAAGTTTTCCATCTTGTTCTGATGGCTCCGAGTTCAGCCCTCTCCCTGTCCCCGCCTCCGTAATAGCATCCCGAGAACGCAAGCATATCAGGTTCGAACCTAAAACATTTTCCAGAACTTTCTCAGTCGCAAGCTTACTCAAAGAAAAAGGGAAGCAGAAACACAGAATCTTGTTGAAACCCCGGAATCTTCCTCATAGTTTTGTTGATACCTGAGATGAAGAGCAACGAAATGCTGGGCTTGCTTTCTCATCCTTTCAACAAGAAGTCTGCCCATTTTGTCAATGGATGGTGTATATCTCAGGGCGTGGTAGTTAACTCTACATCTTAGCCTCTGCAAGCTGGCGTCCAGCTTATTTGAGAGCCTGTAATCGAACTTGCTGAGTTCAACCGCCTACGCCACCAGAAGGAAGACTCAAATCATCAGTATTTAGCTCATGCATTTCCTGTCATAATTCAACATTTGTTTCACTAACATGTTTCTTGGTGAGAAGGGGCAAAACACGATGAAGATAGCACGACGGCGTGCATTTCCTGGGAACGCGCACGGTGTGGTGCCGGGGGGTTTTTCCTTGTTCTTGAGGCAGTTTTTCGATTATCTTAACGTCCTTTGAGAGATAGGAAATGAACCAATCGACGTCAAAGATTTCCTCAAAGTTGCTGCAGAGAAAGGAGGAGTTGGAATGTAGCTAGGAGGAATGAGTATTTGAATCATATAAACAGCGAAACAGAACGGACCTCGAGTCCTTCCAATACGACTTCTGGTCCAGCTTGGGCACCACCAGAGTGGCGTTTAGGATATAAGCAGCAACCACAGCGTCTATTATCTGCAGAAGCAGCAGAAGAAGATGAGAAAAGGTTTATAAAAAAACACCTGCAGCAGCAGCAGTGGCTCACCCCTGTTCGTTGTTGGTTTAGCCCCCCGCTCGTCGCAATCAATAAGTACCGATCCCTGTGTGTTTTCTGATCCGCCACTGCCACAGAAACAACGTCACCGAAATCAAAACACCAGCCTTTTAAACCCGAGTGCCAAATTCCCTCTGTTCCCCCCCCCCCCAAGTTTTCAGCTTGAAAAGAGAAATCCATTCGTGAGTAAACACACATGGCTCTGTCGAGTACCTTGAAACCCATCATCGGCATTGCTGCAGCCATAGTAGAACCTGGAGAAGCTCGAGTTCCACAATTCTCTATCTGAACTCTCGCCATTTGCCTGATATACACATCGCCGTTGTCTCTAAGAGAAGCGAAAACTGGGAGAGAGGTCTTGTCAACGTAAACGATCAATTCAGACATGTTTCACATACCGGAATATGAAACTTCGAAGGCGGTTTTGGATTGCGTTCCAGGGCTACCTCATTGTTCCTCTATATATATTACATACAAGATCAGAATCCATAAAACTGAACAAGATTAGGACAACCTGTTGAAAGACAGAACTAAGTGCCAGAGCGGGATGGTTTCAGCTCTGCTATTGTTCTGTTTTATTTAAACAGAGTAAGAAGAAGAAGAAGAAGAAGAAATACGTACAACATAGTGGTGACGAGTAAATGGAGGAGGAGGAGAAAGAAGGGAGAAGGAGACGAGGAGGAGGAGGAGAAGACAGCCGGAGACGAGCTGAAATACACCGTGCCGGCGGCGGCGGAGCAGCAACAACTGGTGCCGGATTCCAGCAATTATAAGTTTTGTCTTGTCGGTCTCACCCTCGTGTTCCCTCTTTTTCCACTTGGAAGATGCCATTGAGACAGAGGGCCGAAACCAAAACCGAGATCCCTCCAAGACGCTATAGAGACGCAGAGGACATCGTCAACCTCTGCACGACATTGAAGACGGATAAAAACGTGGAAGAGGAGAAGAAGACGCTGTTAATTTGATGAGCAAGTCGGATGATAATAGAGTTATTGGTTTCGATATGTGCGAGTGATGAACAAATCGCGCCTAAATCTGAGACGGGTGGGGATGAAGCCTGGTGTGAAGAGTGACAAGACCGAATCTCTCGCTGCCAGCCGTCCGATTCAATCTTTTCTCCTCTCTCATGCATGTTTTTCCGTTGACGTGGCTTTTCTATACTATATTTAACGAAATTATATGATTAAATCTTGCTGTTTCATGGTAAAATTTCGATCTGATGATATGTCCTTATCTTAATCTTGATAGCTATCTAATAATTAACCAAAAAAAAAACTATATACTATGGGAATTTAAAGCCAAACGGATAAGCTTAAATTAGAACATGGAACTGAAAACAAAGATTTAGTGGTCCTGTCTCATCATCCGTGCAAGATGAACCTTGTTAGTTTCCCATATTAAGAAGATCATGATTTTCAGTGAAAATCAAATACTGATAGTGAGATTATTTTTTAGATCATTGCCCCAAAAAAGATTATTACCAGTCCATATATTTGGTGCAAGTGCAATTCCATTTTTCAAACCATATACCCAATTCTTGAGGCCTATTTTGTACGCATTGAGCCCTAACATGTGGATCATATAAACTTGAGCTGTCAAAGTAATGGGCTTCTACTAGTCATTTGTGGGGTTTGGGGTTGGGGGGGGGGGTTTGTGTTTGTCCTCACGTCCAATCCAATAGACTACCGTTTCTTCCTGAGAGAGAAGGAAGCGAAACTGCTGATGATGTTGACTCTTAGACTTGCCAAAGCTTTGGAGGGAATCTGAAGGGTGAGAAAGCTCCTGCTTCTCAATTTCTTGCTTCCCTGTCTCTTCTCAGACAGCATTATTCCGCTCATCTTGAATTGCAGTCCAACAGACAAAAGGTTAAGCACACATGCTCCTCGTCGACGTAGGAACCAGTTGAAAGCAGTCTTGTACGTGATGGAATGAAACCAAAACAAAACGTGCTCACAATTTGCACTAGAAGCAGTGACATGCATACGACACACCTGAAACTCAAATCTCTTCTCTTCTTTCTCGTCAGATGTCCTGATTAGATCTTTGCAAGACCACTGGCATGGGCAGATGCTTCTAACAGAATACATGATCCTGGGAGGCAGCGACAGCTTGCATCGCTTTTACAATAAGCTCGCATATATGATATTGGGCAAAATTCTTGTGCCGGGATCTGCGTTCTCAAATGTGTAAAATAATGGTTTATACACTTCTCAAATGTGTCAGCATCCTCTGCAGCAACGTCCCTTTCTTACTCCAGCATCTCCTCCTGATCAGCATCTTCCACTTCACAAATGCCCGAAATGGCTTATCATAGTGCTCTTAGCTTACTGGCATTGAGCTAAAGCTGAACCGGGGATGAGAGTAAGAGCATAAACTGCCGTACCGAACAATTATCCGCTACTGCATCTGTTGATGTTTTTACAAAACCATGAAAGTATCCTGCAGATGCGCTGTTCACGGAGGTCCACTAGAGATGCTGCAGAACATTCCACGCTCAAGGATTCAACTTTGGCATGTTTTTCGAGGAACCGTGCTTGTTCTCTGGTCCCACATGCCAAAGTCAGTTTCTTCAGCAGGC